AAGAAGAAAAGAAGGGGGGGTGGGGGGGGGGATATGAAAAGCTCAGCTGCCTAACTGGCTTGCAGCACACATCTACTATCTACGTGAGCTACTGGAGTTAATGAAAGGTGCGAACTAAAGGGGTTATATGCCCGTTCTGGAGAATGTTCAGTCCTGCCGCAGGAAGTCTGCGGCCCTTCGTGGAAATGGAGATGGAAGGGAAAGAGAGGAACATCAAACGAATGAGTGAAGACGCGTGAGAGAATGACTTTTGTGCCTCAACAGAGAAGCTGTCGAACGAAGAGGAAAGTAAGAGCGAGCCGAATTGATAACGTTCATATGCTCGTTCCAAATCTGCTGGCTGGCCTTCACGATCCTGTCTTGGGTGTGAACTTGATCACCGGGAGAGCGTGTATCTCCAGGTGACTCGATCTAAACGGTCCTATTAGCAAAGTTAACATTTCTCATTTGGTAAGATAACAAGAATGCCCGGGTGAAGCAGCAGCTACCGTACCCTGACGTTAAGCGTAGACATATTTGAGCCGCACTTATGATCATCAGCTAAAGGGCAGCCGGCTCACCCGTTCTCCACTCAATTCATCATTATGAAACACCACGAACACGTCACATCACGTTGGCTTCACCTTGATTGGCTATGATTCAGGCTACCAAGAGTCGCAGTTCCAATGTTCGATCTTAATCCTAAGGTCAACCGAGATAATTGCAGGTTCTCTTCAAGAGTACAGTCTAAAGGTGGGGGGATGTAGGTGAAACAAGATCAACTGTCCATTTTGAGGGTCCGAACCGTAAACAACTTGCTGAAAGAAAGGCGAAGAGCCAAAATTCAGCCGCAAAAAGAGCAACAAGTTTCAGTGGGGTTCACTTCTCCCATGTGCTAAAACTGGGCAAGGTAAAGCATGTCGCAAATTCAACTTCCTCAATCTCCTTCCTCCGACACCATCCTTCACATGCTTGTCATGCGGCCATTCGAACTACTGCCCCATCCCAGGCCAACGCTCATGGCCACCAAATCCCTGACCATAGCCACCTGTCCGTAGATAAGTAGTGCAATTGGGAAGATTGAGCCGAGCGCCACATCGAACACAGGCTTAAATCCAGTCATATAATACAACCTCCAAATGGAAAATCCCAAACTATCATAGGAAATCTGTTGCATCAACCAGTAAGACTGACGCGATGGTCGGTAATCAGTTTACATGATCTGATCTTGTGTCAGGCCACCATGGGGGTCGGTATCCATGCTGTCGCCGCCAGCACCAGGGTTAAGGTACTTGACGAAACTCAGACCGAGAGGACGTCCACCATACTGGTAACCCTGGAACTTTTGGATCGCGGTGTCGGCGGTGTCGGCATTGTCGAAGCGAACGACGCCAGAGCCGCGGGAGCGACCGCTGGGCTCATACTGAATCTCAGCCTGCTCTACCTTACCAATAGTAGAGAAGAGCTCGACGAGATCCTCATTGCTGGTCGACCAAGGGAGCTGATGAAGAAGAGGAAAGTCAGAGAAATCGGATACTCGGGGGTACAAGAGGAAAGTTTGACTTACGTTCCGGACGTAAATGATCTCAGACCGTTCAGTACCAGAAGTAGCGAAGTCAGTGAACGGGTTGGGCTGAGCGGCCGGCTGGTTGGCATCGAAGCTAGGGGGACCACCGGGAGCTCCTCCGAAGCCGCCACGACCGCCGAAGCCACCTCCAAAGCCACCGCGGCCACCACCGAAGCCGCCGCGACCGAAACCGCCGAAGGCGCCGCGGCCGCCGCCGAAGCCGCCACGACCGCCGAAACCACCAGGACCCATATTCGCACCGGCAAAGCGATCCTCGCGAACCTCCAGCATACGGCCCTGCCAATCGTAACCATTGAACTGCTGGATGGCGTTGCGAGCATCATCCGGGGTCTCGAAGACAACGATACCCGATCCTTTCGGGCGGCCATCAGGTCCGATATGAACGTCGGCGCGGATAACACCACCATTGCGCGCTATGGCAAGTTAGTATCGCAAGCTGTAGGTCACGTTAATGTATAAAACGATTCAACTTACCAGCCTGTCTAAACAGATCCTTCAGATCCTGCCAGCCAACATTGTACGGCAGCTGTAGGAAAGGTTGATTAGTATATTTCGAGATGGAAAGGAGCAAGAATGGGGCATGGAACAAACGTTGGACACGTAGATCTGGCGGCCACCGCCACCAGCCATGGGACCACCACCGAAGCCGCCGGGACCAGCATGGCCGGGAACAGCTCCATATCCGTTGGGGCCCATGCCGCCACCAAAACCACCGCGGTTGGCACCTCCGCCAGGAGGTCCAAAACGAGGCTCGGCCTCACGGTCCTGAAAACCAGTTTAGTATCTGATTATGCTAGCGATGATCCAAGGGTGAACTTGCCTCGCGAACATAGACAAGTCTGCCCATAAGGTTCTGGTTGCTCAGGGTAGCAACGGCGTTTTGAGCTTGCTCCCTGGTCGCATATTCCACAATTCTAGTCAACAACGTGATGTCAGCATCTAGTCGCCAAAATAGCCGATTGAGGGATTCAAAGTTTGACTTACCCGCATCCCTACAAATTCCATGGACAAAGATGTCCCAACCCGTCAATCCAACAATCCATCAAAAATAACCGAAAGGAAGGGAGCCACAAAAGAACCAGTAGCCGAACGCAAATCACTCATAGCCCACCTTCGACATTCCATTAGGAAGCAGCAACACATCGGCATAGAGCACCTCTCCAGCTAATGATGGGTTAGCAACACATGGAACCTGACCCTCGCATCCTTGTCTCACGACATACCCTGTCTCATAAAATCCTTGAGGTGGTGCCATTTGACATCGTAGGACAAATTGCCGACGTAGACGCGGCGGTCCTGCTGCGACGTTTCCCGAATGTTGTTCATGACTTGTTCACGATGAGCGGCGCGGTCTTCGAAAGTTCGATGAGGTGGTCCGGTGTAACCAATTCCTTGTCCTCCAGCAGGCGCACCTTGGCCAGTCATAGGGGTGCGGCTTCTTCTCCGATGGCGACTCCGCGAACGATCACGGGGCGAGTATGAACGGCGAGTAGTGGGGCTTCTGGAACGTCCACGTCTGGGGGAACGGGACCTCTCACGCTTCGAGGAAGTCGTCGTCAGCGAATGAACAGGTGTAAGATCTGGAGAGAGGGAGATAAAAAGAAAAGTGTGTGGAAGTTGGAGGACAAAGGGCGAGGGGAATAAAGTGAACTGCAGGTGACCGGGTCTGCACGTAGTTGCGTGTTGTGACGGCCAGAAGGGTACTCGTTCCCCACTGCTAGCTCCTAGCTTATGCGAGTCGAGGACGGAAGCTTGACCAGAGATCGCCAGGACAAGTCGATCAGACGAGACTAGTTGATTAAGGCCACAAATCAAGGGACTGACGAGAATCCATCGAAGCAGGGGCTTGAAGACCAGACTATACCCTCGCGCGGCTTATGAAGAAAGAGGAGGGGTGCGTCACGCTCGTGACGGATAGGTGAGATGATTGTGGACGCCGACTGAAACAAGCCGGCCCTGAGAACACAAGGCAGAAAGGATGAGAAATTTGAATGCGTGGTACTTACAGGGCGATAAGTGTCTCCTGCTGCGTCGGCTGTAGAAAGAGGAACTAGGTTAGACCAAGTGAATAAAATAAAGTAGAGCGATGTAAGTGGTTAAGTGGGGAGACGAGAGAACGAAGGAAAGGTGGAGGAGGAGGCAGTATGGGAATGATGTGGGAGAAATGAAGTGACTAGTGGCAACTGGGGGAAAGCAGCCCGCGCAAGGGATTGACACAGGGCGTAGGTAGGAAAGGTAGAGAGAGGTAGGGGATGTGAGAGCTTGTGACGCGGCGGGGTGAGAATAACCTGATGATTCCTACCACTGTGGACCGGAAAGGGAAAACGTGCAGGAGGATGGGGGAGGGGGAGAGAGGAAAGGGGGGGGGGGGGGCGGTTGTCAATTGTGTATATGTAGCCTGGGAGCCAGGCAGGACAAGGCGACGCAAGGCAAAGAAACGCGGGCACGTCACTGCAGCAATACTGCAGCTCCCGTCTGCGAACGGTGGGAAGGGTAACGCGAGCTTCCACTTGGCCAAGAGGACTCGGAGCACAACCCAACCACAACTCGCAAACCGGGCCCGCACAAGTGGCTTTGATCAATACCAAATGCCGTTGTGACTGAAGGCTCTCCTTGGGGTTACAAAGCTGGCATGATACGCCATCGACGCATCGCCTGGTGCTCCCAACAACGAGATTCATACAAACGCAAGATGGGACCGAGAAGGCTTGCTATCGAGAAGACTGATGCCTGTAGACGCGACAAGCCATCCCGAGTGGTGAGGAGGGGTAAAGGGCGAGTGGTGAGGGATTGATATGTGTTCGGGTAAGATTGCCGGGGGAAACAAACAGAGTCCAACGTGAAGTGAGGAGTCGTCTCGGCCGCCACCACCAGAAGAGAGCTCCAAGGTGGGATGGATTGGCTGAGACCAAGCTGTGTGAGGGGAGGATACTTATGGTATGGCAGAAGGAGGATATGGAGAAAGCCGAAAAGCGGACGGCAGCCAGCTCCAGGACACTTTGGAGACAGCAAGAAGAGACCCGGCTTGGTGTCAGACTGGAACTTACCCATGACAACTGAGTCTAATACTTGTCCTGTTCGAGGCAGGTACGGTAAGAATCGAGAAAAATTTTCGGGCAACTTAGCCGCTCGAGTAGGACGAGGTCGTCGGGAACGCGACGATTGGTGCTGTCCTGATGTATGGTGCTATGTTGTTCGCTACAGCAGCGCTTGAACGTTGTTGGGGGACAACGGGTTCAGTCGAGGTACACTGCGACTCTGGCGCAATGGAGGATAGATGCGATTTGGGCAGATGTGCGTCTGTTCGTTGGCTGTGGTAGGCAGTAGGTAGGGTAGATGTCGAGGGAGGTTGAGTGGGTGGTGGGCTGCAAGGCCGAACGGGAATCTGCGCAGGCTCGCGCACTTTGGGGCGGCGCGGTAGATCGGTCGTGGACGAGTGTAGCCGAGGGCGATGCTTGGAACAAGACAGGGCAGACGGAGGCGGGCTGGACAGGCAAAGAGCCCGAAAGGTCAGGAAATTGTTCGTCACAAGCCAAGGACGGGAGCCAGAGAGTCACTTGAAGGGCAAAGGGTACGAGGTTGCCAGACCGTGAGGTGGTACTGGTCGCAGGTACCACAATGGAACCGGCTAAGTAGTGTAGAGGTAGGCCCAGCCTTCAATGCAATGAATGGATAGAGGCAACAAGGCGCATCGCATTCACGCCGCGTCACCTCGAGGCTTTGGGTAGAAGAGAGTTACGTACCTGCAACTTCTGGAAACACGCAGGCTGGCACCCCAAGGATTCGACGTTGACCGTGGAGTGAGTTTCCGTGGACGCAGTCGTCGAGAGGCTAGAGGTAGCGGATGGTCTTCCGGACGGAATCAAGAAGAAGTTGAGGTCGGTGGAAGTTGGACCGCAGGAAGTTGTGTCGATGCCGTGACCGGTTGACTGACCAGTGATGTTGTTTGTGTCTTGTGTGGATGTGCAGCCAGGCCACGCGCGGTGGGATGGGTGAAGCACGCTCCTTCGATGGCTGGCCTTGTTGCCCACTCATAATGCACGGACTTCTCATCGGTGGACTGGACACTTTACATAGCTGTGTAGCGGTACCTAGGTACAGCCTGGGGCAAACCAAATGCAGTAGTGCTACGGTGGAGGGGAGTAAGACTGGACAGTGCAAGTACCTCTAAGGTACAGGTACAAGCATACACCTGGATCCACTCTGTACTCTCCCCTGCCTCGCTCGTTCCAGGTTTGCGGGATAACAACGACGGTACATAAAGCCGACAAAGCAGCCTTTGCTACTCTACCTCCAACCTAGTTGTACGGGCTTTGCACCTCGCTTTCATATTCCTTTCGGGCTTGACTTTACCAATCCTTCAACTTCTTATTCGTAGTGCTGGTGATGTAGAAGTCAAAGAGACAAACAGCATGGGCCAGGTAGACTTGGAGTGCTACAGCAAGTTCAGTTCTACTACTTGCAGGTCGATGCCTAGCCTCAGTTCTGAAGGAAACAGACAGGTGTTGAAGCTCAAAAGCTGTCGTCCATTCCGGAAACTTGACCCTCCGCGAAAAGTCCGCCGCCTCACTCGAGGAGGTAGCAGGTTATTGGTTCAAGATCGATCACAGCTGTGTACGGATGGGTTCATGCTTCGATTTTAACCCAGGTTGACTTGTCTCGAGTAAATCCACGAACGGCGCTTCTCGTGTTCACTGCCAAAGCTGTACCGTGGTAGTTGTCCTTCTGGAGCTGCTCCCATCTGATACAAGCGATCGGGTGTTCAAGTCATGGAGGATGGAAAAGTATTTCAGTGCTGAAGGGTAAATTTTCACAGAATACGAAACTAGTTCAATAAACTTCAGTTCCAGCTTGTCATCGCAAGAAGGTCTACTGGTCGAGTCCAATGTGCGGTATCCCTGTTCTGCTTGCTCAAGTCCAGAATAGGAAGATATGTGTGAGGGCACCTATGAGCGCTTTCGTGTTTATATAAGAGATAACCCGGTACGCAGGTCAAGTAAAGATCTAGCCTCCGAGCCTGACAACGCCTACATGATGGGCCAGGCATTTTCTTTCTGTACAAGTACGGACCGCATCCACATCTTGAAAACGACCTCGATTCTCAATGTAGCCGTTCTTCTCAAGCAAGATAACCCTATAGTAACCATACATTGTACTACTCGGCACCCACCCAGTTGAGTCCACCTTACCCCAAGCACCCCAACTCCATCCACTTGGCTAGTCTTCGGATTCCCTTCCAGGCCATCCTCAGGCCCCGCATCTCCACCTGTCATCTCAAAGAATCAGACGCGCCGAGCTGGAGGCTATTCAGAGTTGACGTCATCATCAGTTTGTAGATTGTCCGCAACCCATCCACGTTCGGTTACACCTGACCGATATGTTCAAGCGGCCACAGATGGCAGTACATGACATTCGGACTCGGGGATAGGGGGAATCTTGATGGTCGATTCCTCAATCCGCCAACAACTATCAAGAAGTGGATTGGAAAAAGCTGGCGAAATCCCTTGGACAAGCTGGTCGAATTATAAGCTCAATACGGTTCGGCGGCTGGGCCAGGTGTCGATATCTTACCAGCCTGCTTCCCAACCCCTCTCATCTGGACAGCTACCACCTTTTGCGGTGCTCGTGTTCCTGTGGGACTGACTGCCCTCCAAGAAGCAGTCCTGTTTTCGAGCCGCCTGTAATGCCGTAATACAACAGCGGCAGCGCGGCACATCGGAAGCAAAACAACCAATGATCACCACGCCCTGCCGAACATTCTCTTCGGGGATGCCAAATCACTGCCCGTCATGCATATCAAAGCAAGCCGGGAGGATTGGGAACAGCTGAAAGAAGCCGGCAAGTTTGGCAGTATGAGCAATCTGGAGTTCCCCTCCTTGCCTAACACCTCAACAAGCGTGTACTTGTGCGGGGACTTTGACAGTGCCATAGGGACGAACCTCGACTCTGCCAAAAGACTCACTCGGAATAGTTGCTTCTCGAGGGAGAGTTCTGTCATGCCTGCCCCCCACACTCACCATTGGGCCATCCACTTTGAACTGAGACCGGTCAATGCATGAAGAGTCGGCTAATAAAGGCACTATGCACAAACTGCCACACACGGCGCGGGAACGGCTTCCAGGAAGCCAAGCCTTGCGTAAGCCGAAGGGTCTGGACCACGGCCTCTCTCGGCTGCGGCAACGGGGACCAGGATGAGAAAAAGAGCGGCCACGCGGCCATGTCCGAAGGGGGATATGCCCTGAATTCGGGCGAGAGTGACCGTGTGTCGGAGCAAAGCAAATACGAGCACCCATGCATAGGCCAGGAACAAGGGGAGTGTCCAACGATCTAGGTATACTGGGGAGTTCGACCACGAGGAAATACCATTTGCATTCAGCGCGGAGGCTCGCCAGGTGCCAGAGAGCACTGCAAAAGGAGAGGGCCACCACGGACAGGCAAGCTTCAATATGGATCGATAATTATCATGAGATATGGCATGTCCATGGCATGCCATATGGATATACTTGGCATCGCATTTCGGGCAGCTTTACTGAAAGAAGAGATCGAGTCAGCAGCCAATAATGCCCCATTTCCGATGTTGATTATCGAATACTCGAAGAAGGACAGCAACCAATCATTCAGTCATATGTCTCATTGCTTCTGTTGCAGCAGCCGATGGCACTTTCAGCCCTCCATTGACTTTTACATCCTACATTAGACTTGACTCCAACTCCCTGGTTGCATCTCGCGACCTCCCGCACGACGCCCGATGGCTCTCCTCTTGGTTCCGCTTGACATGCACACGTTATATCGGCGTTGCTTGGGCCAGACCCTCCTGGCTAATCGTTCTCCTTATTCAGATGGCAGTGTACTGTGTAAACGGCAAGGACAACATACCCGGCAGGTACCATACCCCCTAGTACTGATCTTGGGCTACATGTGCTTCAAACTACAGTGTAGAAATCGTTTCTGGAAGCTGATCTCATCACTGTCAGGAAATGTGCGATAGTAACGGCAAGTACACTAGTATTTTTTCTCTAACCATACACCCCCAGGTCGTTGCACACCATGCCGGGGACAACGTCCAAAAATGAATCCACAGTGTCGTCAATACCGGGGCAAGACCTATGTGAAGTAGGGGTCGATAGATACCGTAAATCTGGGACTTTTACCTTACTTTACACTTTTCCTTACTATAAAACACATAAATGTCTGTGCGCAGAGTCCGTACGCCTATCTAGATTCTATAATATAGCAATTAACTCTAGATAATTTCTAGCGCTCTTACAATTGGGTTAATCGCTAGAATTACCACATTTCTACATACTGATTTGCCTCCTACTCTCGCTGTCACCAGCTCTTTATTTATATTATACTATAATGCCTCCCCAGTGACATCTTTAAGCCGTATAGAGGGAGTTCAACCTCATTAATAACCTTAGTTACGTTTACTAGTATACCCTCTACTATTACTATTAATATTAAACCGCCGCTAATATTACCCGCCTTCGTAACTATTTCGCTAAATATGAGAGGTATATCCTTAATTACGTATAATAATAAATTAATTAATACGAGGATATATAGTAATATACCCTTATAATAACCAATTAATAGAAGGAGAAAATCAACTTTTATACTACTAAAGTTATCCTTCTCGATAGTAGGGGATTTACCCTCTTTAAAAGTAGTCCCATAAGAGTATTTCTCTACTCCTTTATCCCCCTCTATACTCTACCGACCGCAGTAGTAATACGCAACGAATAATTACCTAGAATCTATAACTCTATAAAATAGTAATTAAAGTTTACCTTTATTAAACCCACCCGGTATATTAACGTCTTCTTTAATAAATCTAATAATCATACTAGTCGTTGTATTATTAATATTTCCTTCGCTATACCTAATAGTCTATTATTCTTCTAGACTAATAAAGATATTAATATTATTAAATACACCTCCACTAATTTTACCGCTATTATTAGCAAAGTTATTGTCACGAGCGACGTGGTCACGAGAGGCAAGCTAACACGTTGATACCAGGTCTATTGTAGAATCACAAGATGAAGAAGAAAAGAGGGAAACGTGCAAAGGTGCACGCGGGGTCTGGGGTTTTGACCCAGAGCCTGTGCGCCGGCCTAGAGCCTATGCGCCGGCCCGGCAACGGGTCGGTCACATATCTGGCTACACGGCTGCACCCCATGCCAAGGCCTGTCCGCCAGTGCCGTAACATTACCCCCCCGGTACAAAAAGACTCGTCCCGAGTCGTGCGAAACCGTGAAGAAAGCTATCATATATATAAGGTGGGTCCCCATCCCATCCCGCTAACCAAAATCATGTAAAAAAGTCGCCGTTACCTTGGCTCGAACACGGTCGCTTTCCAGACAGAGGGGGGGTGTCCTCGGGTTTTTGATTGGTCAATTGGTTCTGGGCCCCCGAGCCTTTCCCAACTGCGCCAAACATCCACCGCGGCATGTTGAACAACTAATTTGCCAACATTGCTCAAATCACCACCCTCTGGCCTTCGTCCTTGTCCTTGAAAATTATTTCCTTGCGCCAATGTAACGCCTCGTCAGTCTTGCCCCTTTCCTCAGCGGGACATTATCATCATCGTGATCCGGATCAAACTCGTCCGCCTCAGCCGCTGCGGCCATTGGTCCAGTCGCTTTGGCGGTCCTGGTTGTTCAGGATATTCATCATGAAAG